AGCTAAGGCACCCCCAGTGCCCGCCGCACAGATGCCCTCCCCAGCACCGAAGAAGGGGCAGGGATGGCCCATTACTCGGATGAGCAGGCAGAGAGAGGCCTGAGCTGGGCAAGCCTGGTCTGCATACTCCAGGACCATCTTTGGGAGGGACTTTGCCCTGTGTGTCCAGATTCTCCCTCCAGGGGCGGTGGGGCGAGGGGCAGGTGAAAGACACACACACACACACACAACACAACACACAGCAGCCCGCTCAGGAAAACACAACGAAAACCTGCTGGGCTCCCTTCCTCGTCAGGAACTCCTGCAGGACAGAGGTGCCCACAACCTCCATTCCCAAGCAGCAGGCTCCTGAAACCAGCCATGACCAGAAAGTCCAGAAGTTGAATCCTAACACCAAAGGGGAAGGGGCAGGGAAGGGAGAGAGGGAGGCAGGAGCGGGGAGAAGGGAAGCGAAACCAGAGCTGGTTGTCAAGTGCTTAGCTGCTCCTCATGGAAACCCCAACTCCAGGATCCCACCCCAAAGACATGCAAATATGCCAAGTGCTGCAGGCTGTGGTTGTCAACTGCCACACTGTCTGTGACCTCTCCCCCACTCCCAAAGAAGGGGCACACACATCAGGGAACACTAGGCGGGAGTTAAAAAGAATGAGGGCCCTAACCGGTTCGGCTCAGTGGCAAGAGCGTTGGCCCCCAGACCAAAGGGTCCCGGGTTTAATTCCCGGTCAAGGGCATGTACCTTGGTCGGGGTGCGTGAGGGAGGCACAGGCCATGGATGTGACACATCAGGAAGGTTATCACTAGACACCTTGGGACTACGACCCCCATCGAGCAGCAGACCTGCAAGGCCCCGTGAAAACCAGTAGGCTCAGGACATGTTGCTAGCCACTCTGGGTCTCAGTTTTCACATCTGTTAAATGGGTACGACCTTTTGGTCCAACAGGACCTTCCTGGGCAGGTATGAGACCTGTGTGTCTCTCTCACATTGATGTTTCTCTCTGTCTCTCCCCCTCCCTTCCCTCTAAAAAGAATGAGGACGTGCTCCAGGCACACACAGGGCATTCAGGGTCTCTAAGACACTGCTAGTGAACATGAAGGTGTAAAGCCCTGTGCTCAGCAGACATTATCTGGGTTGAGCACAACCAATACACAGAACGAATCTGAAAGCACTACAAGAAAATGGTCGCAGGGCGGCCTCTTGTCCAGGGCAAGTGTGGCCGGGGGGGAGGGGAGGGGTGGGGTGGGGAGACTTCCTTTTCACTGTGCATGCCCCTGCATCTCTTGAATTCTGTGCCCTGTGCCTCTAATATAATCTCGAAAACTAGAGAAGTCACTTTTCTTTAATTATCTTTTAAATGACAGGTAACACTAGCTGCCCGCATTCCCAGCGCCTGGCAGGAAGCAGATGCCTGAGAAGGACATGAGTCACTGACTGGCTGAAGCGAGAGAGCTCAGGATTCACCAGGAGAGCTTCCAAACTCTAACGAGCAGCTGCGGCCACACCCACTCCGGGGCACGGACTGCCACTCGAGGGAACATTCGAATGGGATTCTAAGCCCATTTAAAGACTCGGAACCTGGGAAACAGGCCGGAGTTTGCCAAGCACCCGGTGTTGCTGGGGAGCAGCCAGGTGTGGGAACGGTGCTGCTGGTAGCAGGACCGAATCTGCCCAACGGGGGAGGGGAGCAGGTTTCATTCCAGGGCAGCCCTGCCAGATCTTGGGACAGGAATGAAGGGCACAAAAGAACCAGAAAGCGCTGTGATGCTCACACTCCCGGCACAGTGGAGGCCGCACGCCAGCCCCAGGAGAGGACAGGAAAGGGCATCTCCCAGGAACCTGGGCACGTGTCCATCTCTGCAACCACGGTGGTGCCAGGAGGTGGTTAGAATCCCAGGACTCAGCTGACCAGACAGTTCAGGAACTGTCTATGGAAATGGACGAGGTGGGGTACGTCCCCAAGGAGAGCACGGAGCCAGACCCAACTGTACCTTGTGTCTCAGTTTCGTCTGTCAAATGAGGAGACTCCTGGAACCCAGCCAAGGGGCTGCTCTGCCCGGCCTTCCTGCCTTTCAGAACTGCCCTCCTCAGTCCTGCGTGGTTCCGAAGGGCAAACAACTGAGGGGCAGCCACACCCCCCTCCAGGGGTGGGTATGTGGCCTGCACCTCACACAGTTGTAGGATGGATATGCAACCTGAGCCAGGCCATCCCTGATCCTTCCCAGGATGGGTCCTGGGACTGCCAGCAGCAAAGGGCACAGCCCCTGCTGCCTCTGAGTGCTCAGACTCTCGGGGTCACGCCAGGAGTAAAGGCCAGCATTCTCTGCCCGAGCCTGTCTTCTCGGGGCTTCCAGCTGCGGGGTTTTGCTGAGACCAGTTTACACTGAGTTTCTGTCACTGGCCACTGCCCTG